TCTCCCCCTACCCCTACTCCCTCCCCTCATTCCCCTTACTCCCCCTACCCTCACTCCTTTGCTCCCCTACCCCTCCCTCCTTTACTCCCCTCCCTCCCACTTCCCCTACCCTCACTCCTTACTCCCCTACCTCCTTTCCCTACCCTCCTCCCTCCCTCTACTCCCTTCACTCCCCTACCCTCACTTTCCCTTCCCTCCTCCCCTTTCTCCCTCACTTCCCTACCCTCCCTCTCCCCTTGCTCCCCCCTCACTTCCCCTACCCTCCTTCCCTACCCTCCTCCCCCTACCCTCCTTCCCTACCCTCTCCCTTCCCTTACTCCCCCCCCACCCTCCTTCCCTACCCTCACTCCCCTACCCTCCTTCCCTCCCTCCTCCCCCTACTTCCCCTCCCTCCTCCCTTGCTCCCCTCCTTCCCCCTCCTTCCCCTGCCCTCCTCCCCTACCTCACTTCCCCTACCCTCCTCCCCTTCTCTCCCCTACCCTCCTTCCCTACCCTCCTCCCTCCCTCCCTCCTTCCTCTCCCTCCCCCTGCCCTCCTCCTCCTCCCTCCTTCCCTACCCTCACTCCTTGCTCCCCTACCCTCCACTTCCCTGCCCTCCTTCCCTACCCCTCACTCCCCTCTTCTCCCTCTGCTCCCTACCCTCACTTCCTCACTTGCCTCCCCTACCCTCCTTCCCTGCCCTCACTTCCCTACCCTCACTCCCCTACCTCACTTCCCTGCCCTCACTCCCCTTACTCCTCCCTCCCCCTTCCCCTACCCTCCTCCCCTACCCTCCCTTCCCTACCCTCCATCCCTACCCTCCTCCCCTTACTCCCATGCCCTCCCTCCCTTTGCTCCCCTACCATCACTCCCATTGCTCTCCTGCCCTCACTCCCTTGCTCCCCTGCCCTCCTCCCCTACCCTCCTCCTGTCCCCCTACCCTCCTCCTATGCTCCCTACCCTCTCCCCCCCTCCTCCTACCTCCTCCCTTTGCTCCCCTACATCCTCCCGTTACTCCTACCCTCCTCCTTACTCCCTACCCTCCTCCCCTTGCTCCCCCTCCTCCCTACCCTCCTCCTATGCTCCCTGCCTCCTCCCCTACCTCTCCTACCCTCCTCCCCTACCCTCCTCCCCCTACCCCTCCTCCCCCCCCCCTCCCCTACCCCTCCCTCCCCCCCTCCTCCCCCTCCTCCCCCCCCTCCTCCCCCCACCCCTCCCCTACCCTCCTCCCCTACCCCTCCTCCCCACCCCTCACTCTCCCCCCTCCCACTCCCCTTACCCCTCCTTAGTATATCCTGTTGTAAGAGGCGTCTATCTCCCCTCAACCAATCCTTCAGGTGTAGAGGCTGCCATTGAAACCATCTCCCTCTCTGCTTTTTTACTGGCCACCCCTCACCTCCCCTCCACTTCACCCACCCCACACCTTCCCTCACCTCCCCACACTCATCTCACCACCCCCCACCTCCCCCACACCACCCCTTACCTCCCACCATCCTCCACCTCACCTCACCTCCCACACCACCCCTCCTCTTCCCCCACACTTGCCTCCTCCCCACACCTCATCTCACCACCCACCCCACTCCCACCACCCCACTGTGATCACTCCCCACTGTGAGTCACTCCCCCACCGTGGAGTCACTCCCCACCATGAGTTTGTTGAAAAGAGGTACTTAGGCGCAACAGTAATTGTTTCCAGGCTTCTTCTCTAAGACAGGGTCACACCAATGATTTTCTTGTGTTGTTGTTGTTGGGGGCAGCCGCTAAATATTCCCGCCCTGTTGTCTCATTAATATTCCCGCCCTGTTGTCTCATTGGTTAAATATTCCCGCCCTGTTGTCTCATTGGTTAAATATTCCCGCCCTGTTGTCTCATTGGCTAAATATTCCCGCCCTTTTGTCACTATCTCTAGCTCTTTGTCTGTCTGTCTGTCTGTCCGTCCTCTCATACAATGTATACTCAATACTTTTTATCATAAACAATAAAGACAATTGTTAGTGAAGTGAGAGCTCTTTTCCAGTCATATCTCGCCAAACACGTATTTTTACCTCACCCCACACTTATATTTACCTCACCCCACACTTATATTTACCTCACCCCACACTTATATTTACCTCACCCCCCACACTTATATTTACCTCACCCCACTTATATTTACCTCACCCCACACTTATATTTACCTCACCCCACACTTATTTTACCTCACACTTATATTTACCTCACCCACGTATTTTTACCTCACCCCACACGTATTTTTACCTCACCCCACGTATTTTTACCTCACCCCACACGTATTTTACTCACCCACGTTTTTTTACGTTTATTTTACCTCGCCAAAATAGTCCCAGCAATGGCCTCTTATTTTATTGATCATCATGTGACAGCCGTTGACGTACTCTGGTCAGGTCGATAACATGTACTCAACAGCAGGTGGTTCATGGTAAGCAGGCAGGTAGGCAGGCGTGGGACTGTACCGTGTGTGGGAGGCGTGGTAGGCGTGGTACTGTACCGTGTGTGGGAGGCGTGGTAGGTGTGGGACTGGCCCGTGTGTGGGAGGCGTGGTAGGTGTGGTGCTGTACCGTGTGTGGGGCGTGGTAGGTGTGGTACTGTACCGTGTGGGAGGCGTGGTAGGCGTGGTGCTGTGCCGTGTGTGGGGGCGTGGTAGGCGTGGTGCTGTACCGTGTGGGGGCGTGGAGTGTGGGTACTGTTCTGTGGGCGTGGTAGGCGTGTGCTGTACCGTGTGGGGAGGCGTGGTAGGCGTGGTGCTGCCGTGTGTGGGGAGGCGTGGTAGGCGTGGTACTGTACCGTGTGTGGGAGGCGTCGAAGGCGTGGTACTGTACGTGTGTGGAGGCGTGGTAGGCGTGGTAATGTACCGTGTAGGGGAGGCGTGGTGTTTGATAGGTGCAGTACCGTGTGGGGAGGCGTGGTACTGTACCGTGTGGGGCGTGGTAGGCGTGTTACTGTACCGTGTGGGGGGCGTGGTGAGGTGTGGGTACTGTACCGTGTGGGGGGGCGTGGCACTGTGCCGTGTGGGGACGCCTGGTGGGCGTGGGTGTTGTGCCGTGGGGAGGCGTGGTAGGCGTGGTACTGTGCCGAGTGTGGGGCGTGGTAAGTGTGGTACTGTGCCATGGGAAGGCGTGGTACTGTACCGTGTGGGGGCGTGGTACTGTACCGTGTGGGGGGCGTGGTAGGTGTGGGTACTGTGCCGTGTGGAGGCGTGGGTACTGTACCGTGTGGGGAGGCGTGGTACTGTACCGTGTGGGGAGGCGTGGTGTGGTACTGTACCGTGTGGGGAAGCGTGGTACACCGTGTGGGGACGTGTGGTACTGTACCGTAGAGCGTGGTACTGTACCGTGTGGGGCGTGGTACTGTATCGTGTGGGGATGCGTGTAGGCATGGTACTGTACCGTGTGGGGCGTTATAGGCGTGGGTACTGTACTGCCTGCGGGCGTGGTAGGCGTGGTACTGTACCGTGTGGGAGGCGTAATGTGTACCGTGTGGGGAGCGTGGTAGGCGTGGTACTGTACCGTGTGGGGGAGGCATGGTAGGCATGGGTACTGTACTGTGTGAGGGAGGCGTGGTACCGTGTGTTTGCTAAGGTAGACTACCTCGCCTCTCATTGGCTGAAGGAAAGTCACTCAAGATGATGATTGGTGGATCCAAGCTTAGCCTCCCCTAAGCTCTTTGGCAACAGTGATTATAATACCTAACCTAACCTAACCTACCTTAAGCTAACCTAACCTAACCTAACCTAACCTAATCTACCTTAAGCTAACCTAACCTAACCTGGTAATACATGTTAACTTACCGAGCACTACAGCGTGTTGGGCCAGCTTTAGGTGTGGCCTACAGGGGTTGGCTGACCATGACATTTCAGCAGTTAATTTTGTAGACAAGTTTATGTACAAATTAACACTATTATCATCGTTGACGTAGTTATGCTTATCATTGTGTTACATTTGGGATAGGTTAGGTTCGGTTAGGTTAGGTTCATTCGGTTAGTTTAGGTTAGGTTAGGTTAGGTTAGGTTAGACTCTCACGTTATGCTAGAGACACATACCTGGTCACTACCCTGAGTGTTGTGGTGAAATATTGAGGTTACTTCTCGTGTTATAATGAATCAAGACAGTTAACGAGGGGTGAGGTGCCATATAAAGCCTTTCCCTCACACTCGCCCCTCACACTCACCCTCTCACTCACCCCCCCACACTCGCCCTCACACTCACCCCTCACACTCTCGCGTCACACTCACCCTCCTCCCCACCCCTCACCTCACCCTCCCCGCACCCTCCCTCGCCCTCACACTCACCCCTCACCGCACCCCCACACTCGCCCTCACCTCACCCCTCGCACTCACCCTCCCTCGCCCCTCCACGCACCCCTCACACTCGCCCCTCACCTCACCCTCACACCCCTCACTCGCCCTCACCTCACCCCTCCACACCCCTCTCCGCCCCTCCCACACTCACCCCTCACTCCACCCTCACCTCGCCCTCCACACCCCTCACACTCGCCCCTCACACTCCACCTCACACACCCCTCACACACCCCTCCCCTCACCCCTCCCCCTCACCCCTCACACTCACCTCCTCACCCCTCACCCCTCCCTCCACACGCACCCCTCACACTCACCCCTCACACTCACCCCTCACGCTCACCTCTCCCTCACCCCTCTCACTCACCCCCTCTCTCACCCCTCTCCTCCCACCCCTCCCCTCACCCCTCCCACACTCACCCCTCACCTCACCCCTCCCCTCACCCCTCACACTCACCCCTCAACACTCACCCCTCACACTCACCCCCCACACTCGCCCCTCACACTCACCCCTCTCACTCACCCCTCTCACTCACCCCTCTAATATTTTTTAGCGCCAAGGAGGTAATGGTTTGTTCTTTCTTGTAGGTACTGAGTGTTAAGGGCCACTTGCCACCACCTACCACCATCTGCTTAGTGTTGAGGGCCACCTACCACCATCTGCTGTGTTGGGGGCCACCTACCACCATCTGCTGTGTTGGGGGCCACCTACCACCATCTGCTGAGTGTTGAGGGCCACCTACCACCATCTGCTGTGTTGGGGGCCACCTACCACCATCTGCTGAGTGTTGAGGGCCACCTACTACCCTACACCCATAGCCACAACCTGGCCGCTGTAGGAGATAACTGCAGCATCACCTTGACCAACACGACAGAGGTGGTTTAGTGACTCACTTTGCCTCACTGTACTATACACGGGTTCCAGTGTTCCAAGTTTGTCACTCAGTAAGTATTATAGCAGACAATTTACCAGTAAACTGTAGGAAAAATAGTATTGCTGAGAAACTTCCGCGGAAACAACACTGAAATTTATATTTTAAAAAATTAAGAATTTTCTCCTAAATACGAAAGTTAAGTCAGTCGCCCCGCCACCTCCTCCTCGCCACTAACTTATTTTACATCGATTCACAAATTTCCAGAACTGTTGTTGACAAGTTTTGTGTTTACTGAACAATGTAAGTGTCTTCCTGCAACACGCAGTCACAAACGTCTGCTGAAAGGTGTCACACAGGAGAGTGTCACGTAAGGATGTTACAGGAAAGTGTCACAAAGGAAGGTGCCACAGGAAAGTGTTAGATAAGGGTGTTACAGGAAGGTGTCACATAAGGGTGTTACAGGAAGGTGACAGAGAGGTGTGCCTTCTCTGGCTCACCACACGGAGGGGAAGAGTTAGGTGGTGTAGGACAACGTGATGACGGCGACGCCTGGAGGTGTGGCTGTACACAGCCTCGGCACCCCAGTCAGTGTGTTGTCCAGCAGCGAGGTCTCGGCGACCCTCTACGGGACACCCGAGTCAATGAGCTGGACGGATCCATCCCACGGAGAGACGAGAAACGTGAGGGACACCTCCAACAGCAACAGCAGTACCTTGTTAGTGTCCGTCAACGAGAAGGTTGCCACGGTAACTCACCTGTCAACCTTTAACTCTGAGACACCACACCACGCCGCGGCTACCACCACCCTCCTCCTCCTCAACCAGACCACCAACATCACCACAACCGGAGACCAGGACCTCGACTACCAAGACAACCTTAACGCCTCGCTGGCTTCCAATTACAGCGATTACGACTTGTCTCTGGACGACCTTCTGTACCGGCACTCCTTCAACACGGGTCTTCTGCTCTGTCTTAGTTATGTTGTCGTCTTCATCCTGGGACTTATCGGCAACTGCTTCGTCATCGCTGTTGTCTTCAGGTAAAGTCTTGTGTGTGTGTGTGTGTTTAAGATTCTACTAGGTTAAGTTGAATTAGATTAAGTTACATAGGTTAAGTTACATTAAGTTAGGTCAAGTCAGATTGAGTTAGGTTAAGTTAGATTTGAGTTAGGTGACGTTAAGTTATAATCACAGCTCTATCAACACGAGTCACCCACAAGGTCACATTATTAGTGTCGCTAACCACTTATTGACTCAGGTAACCAGAAAATATTGATAATTAAGAGCAGGTAAATCTGATGTTACAAGAGGCTCTAATTGTCTTACCTGTAGCTGGTCGGCTCTAATTGCCTTACCTGTGGGTAGTCGGCTCTACAACATGACGTTCTCACTTATTAAGTTTTGCTCGCTATAACAACATCAAAGACCCAGATCACTGACACCTTCCTCATACACTGTGCATGGCAAGGAAGAGGAACACACACACACACACACACACGCAGTGGTCGACGACCTTCACTCCTCACGTCATAATAATGACAAGCCAGAACTAATATCAGGAACAACCTTGAGTAAAGCAATTAACAATTAGCTTTATTGAATACTAACATGTAAATGAATATCTTAGTAATTAGTGTTAATGAAAGGTTAAACTAATGATCTTATAGTTTCTTTTATATATATATATATATATATATATATATATATATATATATATATATATATATATATATATATATATATATATATATATATATATATATATATATCGAGAGAGTACTCACGTAACACAAGGTGACTTCTGACTTTCCATAGACTATCAAGCAGTTACTCGCAATATAAAACCTAACCTACAATTACCTATTCTTATCTAACCTAACATTAACCTAAATTGTTCTTGGTGTAGTGATACTATTAGACGACGCCATAAATGTGTTCATATAATGTTAGCTTATGTTATATTATATTAACTTAGGTTAGGTTAGGGTTGTTCACCTTCGATCATTCACCTACACTTGCTTGGTTCAACTCCGTCTCGAGGTGACTGTTGCCAATAATTACTCTTTGATGTCAAGTTCTGGTCAGGTGTAATTTTATTTTGATGGCCTGGACATTATCACCTCCCCCCCTCCCCGCTAGTTTATTAGACGTTAAGATTAACCTTACCTAACTTAACCTAACTTAACGTAACATAAGCTAACCTAACCTAACCTAACCTAACATAAGCTAACCTAACCAAACCTACCTTAATCTAACATAACCCAACAACCCTAACCTGACTTAACCTAACTTAACCTAATACAATATTTACCTTATACCGGCGCAGGACCCCGCGCATGCGCACACCCACCAACTATTTCATCGTGAACCTGGCAATGGCCGATGTGTTGGTCATAGTGTTCTGTCTACCAGCCACACTACTCTCCAGCATATACTACCGTGAGTATCTACTTCCCCCATCATCATCATCATCATCATCACTTCCCCCATCATTATTTATCATAATAACTCATATTATCACCACCATCATTGATTCAACAGGTGTAGGATGATAAGTACAGGTGTCATCACAGGCTCAACAGGTGTAGGATGATAAGTACAGGTGTCATCACAGGCTCAACAGGTGTAGGATGATAAGTACAGGTGTCATCACAGGTGTAGGATGATAAGTACAGGTGTCATCACAGGTGTAGGGTGATAAGTACAGGTGTCATCACAGGCTCAACAGGTGTAGGATAATAAGTACAGGTATCTCTCCCTCCTCCAGCGTGGATGTTAGGATGGATAATGTGCAAGTTGGTAGCGTACGTCCAGGCTGTGTCCGTATCTGCGTCTGTTAACTCCCTGGTGGCCGTCTCCCTCGACAGGTAAGGTCACTAAGGTATACTGTCACACACACACACACACACACCAGCAGTAACAGGGTCACAAAGCGTTACTGACACCACCTATGGTTACCCTACAGGTTCTTGGCCATCTGGTTTCCTCTTAAGCTCCAGATCACAACAGAACGAGCCAGGGCCCTTATTGTCATCATCTGGATAATGGCCGTCGCCTCGGCTATACCTTACTCCATCTACTTCGAGACACAGGTGTTCTACAAGCAAGCTCCTGACCTCATAGTTTGTGTTGAGGTAAGTCTTATTGTTCACTATTACTACAGGTGTTATTGTTCACTATTACTACAGGTGTTATTGTTCACTATTACTACAGGTGTTATTGTTCACTATTACTACAGGTGTTATTGTTCACTATTACTACAGGTGTTATTGTTCACTATTACTACAGGTGTTATTGTTCACTATTACTACAGGTGTTATTGTTCACTATTACTACAGGTGTTATTGTTCACTATTACTACAGGTGTTATTGTTCACTATTACTACAGGTGTTATTGTTCACTATTACTACAGGTGTTATTGTTCACTATTACTACAGGTGTTATTGTTCGTTATTACTACAGGTGAAATTATCATGGGGGTCTAATCTTCAGGTGACGCCACACACCAGTGAACCTTCGATATAACGGACTTTTATCTTTATATAGTTCGTTAAATGTAGGTTTCATTTCTAACAGACCCTCGATATAACGGACTTTTATCTTTATATAGTTCGTTAAATGGAGGTTTCATTTCTAACAGACCCTCGATATAACGTACTTTTATCGTTATATATTTCGTTAAATGGAGGTTTCATTTCTAACAGACCCTCGATATAACGGACTTTTATCTTTATATAGTTCGTTAAATGTAGGTTTCATTTCTAACAGACCCTCGATATAACGTACTTTTATCGTTATATAGTTTGTTAAATGGAGGTTTCTCTTCTAAAGGACGCTCGATATAACGTACTCTTAACTCCCCTAGATGTGGCCCAGCAGACAAGCAGAACGTTTCTACTTCCTCATCGCCCACCTGCTCTTCTGCTACCTGCTTCCCCTACTGCTTATCATCTTCTTCTACGTAATGATATGGATCAGGGTAAGTGATACATGGAGTCAGGTAGTGATACATGGATCAGGGTAAGGGATACATGGAGTCAGGTAGTGATACATGGATCAGGGTAAGTGATACATGAAGTGAGGTAGTGATACATGGATCAGGGTAAGTGATACATGGAGTCAGGTAGTGATACATGGATCAGGGTAAGTGATACATGAAGTGAGGTAGTGATACATGGATCAGGGTAAGTGATACATGAAGTGAGGTAGTGATACATGGATCAGGGTAAGTGATACATGGGTGAGTAGTGATACATATGGATCAGGGGTAAAGGATACATGGGTGAGGTAGTGATACATGGATCAGGGTAAGGGATACATGGGAGTGGGAGTAGTGATACATGGATCAGGGAGTAAGGGATGCATGGAATTGAGTAGTGATACATGGATCAGGGAGTAGAGTGATACATGTGGGTGAGGTAGTGATATGTGGATCCCAGAGTGAAGTGATACATGGAGTCAGGTAGTGATACATGGATCAGGGTAAGTGATACATGAAGTGAGGTAGTGATACATGGATCAGGGTAAGTGATACATGAAGTGAGGTAGTGATACATGGATCAGGGTAAGTGATACATGGAGTCAGGTAGTGATACATGGATCAGGGTAAGTGATACATGGAGTCAGGTAGTGATACATGGATCAGGGTAAGTGATACATGGAGTGAGGTAGTGATATGTGGATCAGGGTAAGGGATACATGGAGTGAGGTAGTGATACATGGATCAGGGTAAGTGATACATGGAGTGAGGTAGTGATATGTGGATCAGGGTAAGTGATACATGAAGTGAGGTAGTGATACATGGATCAGGGTAAGTGATACATGAATTGAGGAGTAGTGATATGTGGATCAGGGGTAAGTACATGGAGTGGGAGTATTAGTGATGCATGGATCAGGGTAAGTGATACATGGGTGAGGAGTAGTGATGATACATGGATCAGGGGTAAGTGATGCATGAGTGAGGTAGTGATATGTGGATCAGGGGTAAATGATACATGGGTAAGTAGTGATACATGGATCAGGGTAAGTGATACATGAAGTGAGGTAGTGATACATGGATCAGGGTAAGTGACACATGAAGTGAGGTAGTGATACATGGATCAGGGTAAGTGATACATGGAGTGAGGTAGTGATATGTGGATCAGGGTAAATGATACATGGAGTGAGGTAGTGATACATGGATCAGGGTAAATGATACATGGAGTGAGGTAGTGATATGTGGATCAGGGTAAGTGATACATGAAGTGAGGTAGTGATATGTGGATCAGGGTAAGGGATACATGAAGTGAGGTAGTGATATGTGGATCAGGGTAAGGGATACATGAAGTGAGGTAGTGATATGTGGATCAGGGTAAGTGACACATGAAGTGAGGTAGTGATATGTGGATCAGGGTAAGGGATACATGGAGTGAGGTAGTGATACATGGATCAGGGTAAGTGATACACGGAGTCAGGTAGTGATACATGGATCAGGGTAAGGGATACATGGAGTGAGGTAGTGATACATGGATCAGGGTAAGTGATACACGGAGTCAGGTAGTGATACATGGATCAGGGTAAGTGATACATGGAGTGAGGTAGTGATACATGGATCAGGGTAAGTGATACACGGAGTCAGGTAGTGATACATGGATCAGGGTAAGTGATACATGGCTCTCGTAGTGTGTGTGTAATAATAAGCTGGAATTTTCAATCAAATTTAATTGTTGTGACGGAGGAGCTACAACACTACTGACGGAGGAGCTACAGCACTACTGACGGAGGAGCTACAGCACTACTCACGGAGGAGCTACAACACTACTCACGGAGGAGCTACAACACTACTCACGGAGGAGCTACAACACTACTGACGGAGGAGCTACAGCACTACTGACGGAGGAGCTACAGCACTACTGACGGAGGAGCTACAACACTACTGACGGAGGAGCTACAGCACAGCACTACGCGACGGAGGAGCTACAACACTACTGACGGGCTACAGCACTACTGACGGAGGAGCTACGCACACCTACTGACGGAGGGAGCTACAGCACTACTGACGGAGGAGCTACAGCACTACTGACGGAGGAGCTACAACACTACTCACGGAGGAGCTACAACACTACTCACGGAGGAGCTACAGCACTACTGACGGAGGAGCTACAGCACTACTGACGGAGGAGCTACAGCACTACTGACGGAGGAGCTACAGCACTACTGACGGAGGAGCTACTGCACTACTGACGGAGGAGCTACAGCACTACTGACGGAGGAGCTACAACACTACTGACGGAGGAGCTACAGCACTACTGACGGAGGAGCTACAGCACTACTGACGGAGGAGCTACAACACTACTGACGGAGGAGCTACTGCACTACTGACGGAGGAGCTACTGCACTACTGACGGAGGAGCTACAACACTACTGACGGAGGAGCTACAACACTACTGACGGAGGAACTACAACCTTCTTTATTCCTACAGGTTGCCAGTAGACACATCCCAGGAGACAGCAGAGACGCCGCCGTTCACGAGATGCAACAACGCAGTAAGGTGAAGGTCGTGAAGATGCTGGTGGTGGTGGTGATTATCTTCATGTTGTCTTGGCTGCCTCTCTACGTTATCTTCACCAGGATCAAGGTAACTTCACTACATCTACAGTACACCATTAAGTCTGATATAGTTATGTTCAACTAATTCTCAAACTACACATTTTCCTGTAGATTTATATAATACAAACTTATATTATATTTCACAAGGATATATATTCACAATGATAATAATACACTGTAGTTAATGCATATGTGAGTCAGACTTACTTTTTGAGGAGTGGTGGAGAGAGTGAGGGAGGAGGAGGTTGAGGCAAGGATCATGTGTGGTGGAGAGAGAGAGGGAGGAGGATGGTGAAGCAAGGATCATATGTGGTGGAGAGAGTGAGGGAGGAGGAGGGTGAAGCAAGGATCATCTGTGGTGGAGAGAGTGAGGGAGGAGGAGGGTAAGGACTGCCCCTTCCTTGGGATCCTCTACATCTCTACACGAGTGTTGGTGCAGCTCACAGCGGGACCTGGCTGGGACAAGTTACAACGGGTCAGTCTGTTTAAAGAATGTAGTTCAGGTAACCTTTGTTTTGTTTTATACAGTTCTACAGCTCGTGTATCAGTAGAAGGCATTGTTTATCTTCGTACTAACTTCAAGGTTGTGATCGGGTCAACAACAACAAATACAACCCTAGTCCTGTGGTTCACATAACGAAGAGGTGCTCATCGAAGTTTGGCAGATTTTTACACCTTTTCAAATACTTGATGTTCGTGCAAGTCTGTACATAGAACACAACTATATACTGTACTGTACGCTAGAGAAAGAGTAACATAAACATGTAATTCTCATTGTCATCATGAAATAGATCATTGGCGTTATTTCAGCTTGGTGATGAGCTTGGTGAGACCGAGGGAGCAGTTCTGGCCATCGTCACCCCTATGGCACAGTGGCTGGGGTCATCCAACTCCTGCATCAACCCTATTCTCTACGCTTTCTTCAACAAAAAGTACCGTAATGGGTTCCTGGCCATCGTCAAGAGTCGCTCGTGCTGTGCTACTCTCCGCTATGACTCCTACTCGTACTCCACCACGCGTAGGTCTTACTATCCGTCATACCGCTCCACCATCCGACCCGAAGCTGGCACCGTCGACCCCATCAATCATCACAAGAACAGCTCCGCCAACGTGTACACACTAGAGGGACGAGCTAACACCCGCACCAGGTACCACACAGGGCGGCCACGCACTCTGGCCAACGGCCTCAGTCCTGCTCTCCACCTCGCAGATAACTTTACCAAGGACGCCAGCTTGGAGGAGATGCGTCCACCACAACCAATATTGGGAGGCATTGAGGTGGTGGAAGTGGATGAGTACAGCAACAGCTATGCAGACAGCATCCACACCTTCACCAACGGCAAACTCGACGCCGTAGACTAAGACTAAAGCGACTCTTTGATGAATCTCCTGTTACTCGGGACGCCTTTACTGACCATTACTACAACTTTGTCTCTCTCTGGTTCTTTTGTCATCAGTCAGAAAACTATGACGTTGTCTGTCTGGTCATTCCTGGAGGTCAGGTCATTGTTCCCTCACTAGTCGTGATCCAGCCTCGCGGGACTCTCTGTTTACAACTCTTGGTGTTATTGTAAGACGTATATGTGTTATTAACTATCACGCACAGCACCTACAGTAAGTCATGCAGTACAGCAGGTGTGTTGAGCAGTACAGCAGGTATGTTGAGCAGGACAGCAGGTGTGTTGAGCGGGACAGCAGGTGTGTTGAGCGGGACAGCAGGTGTGTTGAGCGGGACAGCAGGTGTGTTGAGCAGGACAGCAGGTGTGTTGAGCAGTACATCAGGTGTGTTGAGCAGTACATCAGGTGTGTTGAGCAGTACATCAGGTGTGTCTATATGTTGTCGATCTTTCCCTAACACCAAAATATTTAATCTAGTTTTTAGAAGATTTCACCTAACCTAACCTAACCTAACCTAAAGTAACCTAAACTAACTAAACTAGCCTAATGAAGCTGACAATTTTTTTACAAACGGACAGACGGCAAGTAGCTCTCTCATTACTCTCTCCTCCTGAATTGTTTGGTCGCGAAAAAATATAAATAAAATGAGAAATTAATCTGTGCAAAAAATTCTGTTGAGTTGAACTGAAAAAGTCTAATGTGATGTGTGTGTGAGAGACAGGTCATGTGTGTGAGAGAGACAGGTCATGTGTGTGAGAGAGACAGGTCATGTGTGTGAGAGAGACAGGTCATGTGTGTGAGAGAGACAGGTCATGTGTGTGAGAGAGACAGGTCATGTGTGTGAGAGAGACAGGTCATGTGTGTGTGAGAGACAGGTCATGTGTGTGTGAGAGACAGGTCATGTGTGTGTGAGAGACAGGTCATGTGTGTGTGAGAGACAGGTCATGTGTGTGAGAGAGACAGGTCATGTGTGTGAGAGAGACAGGTCATGTGTGTGAGAGAGACAGGTCATGTGTGTGAGAGAGACAGGTCATGTGTGTGAGAGGCAGGTCATGTGTGTGTGAGAGACAGGTCATGTGTGTGTGAGACAGGTCATGTGTGTGAGAGAGACAGGTCATGTGTGTGAGAGACAGGTCATGTGTGTGAGAGAGACAGGTCATGTGCGTGAGAGAGACAGGTCATGTGCGTGAGAGAGACAGATCATGTGCGTGAGAGAGACAGGTCATGTGTGTGAGAGAGACAGGTCATGTGTGTGAGAGACAGGTCATGTGTGTGAGGAGACAGGTCATGTGTGTGAGAGAGACAGGTCATGTGTGTGAGAGAACAGGTCATGTGTGTGGAGAGACAGGTCATGTGTGTGAGAGGCAGGTCATGTGTGTGAGAGAGACAGGTCATGTGTAGAGACAGATCATGTGTGTGAGAGAGACAGATCATGTGTGTGAGAGAGACAGATCATGTGTGTGAGAGAGACAGGTCATGTGTGTGAGAGAGACAGGTCATGTGTGTGAGAGAGACAGGTCATGTGTGTGAGAGAGACAGGTCATGTGTGTGTGGAGAGACAGGTCATGTGTGTGAGAGAGACAGATCATGTGTGTGAGACAGGTCATGTGTGTGTGAGAGAGACAGGTCATGTGTGTGTGAGACAGGTCATGTGTGTGAGAGAACAGGTCATGTGTGTGAGAGACAGGTCATGTGTGTGAGAGAGACAGGTCATGTGTGTGTGAGAGAGACAGGTCATGTGTGTGTGAGAGAGACAGGTCATGTGTGTGGAGAGAGACAGGTCATGTGTGTGAGAGAGACAGATCATGTGTGTAGAGACAGGTCATGTGTGTGGAGAGAGACAGATCATGTGTGTGAGAGAGACAGATCATGTGTGTGAGAGAGACAGATCATGTGTGTGAGAGAGACAGATCATGTGTGTGAGAGACAGATCATGTGTGTGAGAGAGACAGGTCATGTGTGTGAGAGAGAGACAGGTCATGTGTGTGAGAGACAGGTCATGTGTGTGAGAGAGACAGATCATGTGTGTGAGAGAGACAGATCATGTGTGTGAGAGAGACAGGTCATGTGTGTGAGAGAGACAGATCATGTGTGTGAAGAGACAGATCATGTGTGTGAGAGACAGGTCATGTGTGTGAGAGAGACAGGTCATGTGCGTGAGAGACAGATCATGTGCGTGAGAGAGACAGGTCATGTGCGTGAGAGAGACAGGTCATGTGTGTGAGAGAGACAGGTCATGTGTGTGAGAGAGACAGGTCATGTGTGTGAGAGAGACAGGTCATGTGTGTGAGAGAGACAGATCATGTGTGTAGAGACAGGTCATGTGCGTGAGAGAGACAGATCATGTGTGTGAGAGAGACAGGTCATGTGTGTGAGAGACAGGTCATGTGTGTGAGAGACAGATCATGTGTGTGAGAGACAGGTCATGTGTGTGAGAGCAGGTCATGTGCGTGAGAGACAGGTCATGTGTGTGAGAGAGACAGGTCATGTGCGTGAGAGAGACAGGTCATGCGTGAGAGAGACAGATCATGTGCGTGAGAGAGACAGGTCATGTGCGTGAGAGACAGATCATGTGCGTGAGAGAGAGACAGGTCATGTGCGTGAGAGAGACAGGTCATGTGTGTGAGAGAGACAGGTCATGTGTGTGAGAGAGACAGGTCATGTGTGTGAGAGAGACAGGTCATGTGTGTGAGAGAGAGACGGTCATGTGTGAGAGAGACAGGTCATGTGCGTGAGAGAGACAGATCATGTGCGTGAGAGAGACAGATCAGTGTGTGAGAGAGACAGGTCATGTGCGTGAGAGAGACAGATCATGTGCGTGAGAGAGACAGGTCATGTGTGTGTGAGAGAGACAGGTCATGTGTGTGAGAGAGACAGATCATGTGTGTGAGAGAGACAGGTCATGTGTGAGAGAGACAGGTCATGTGTGAGAGAGACAGGTCATGTGCGTGAGAGAGACAGGTCATGTGTGAGAGAGATAGGTCATAAAATAATGATAATAATAATTAACGGTTTATTGAAATAGTTCTGAAAAAGTTCTGAAGCTGAAGGCTGAAAATATACATTGGACATAAATGACTTATTACATACATTGACATTGGTGGTTTAACAAAAGCCTTCATAGCAGAAAGTTAAAGGAATATACAGTGAACATACAGATTAATGTTTACAGTGGGCGGTCACGTAGATCTTGTGCACTGAGGTATTGAACAGCAGACACGTAGTGTAGTAACTCCCTCACAGATGGCGTTATGAGGGGCATCACGTGGAGTAGTAGTTCCCTCACAGGTGGTGTTATGAGGGGCTTGACGTGGTGTAGTAATTCCCTCACAGATGGTGTTATGGGGCCTAGTAGTAATATTCCCTCACAGATGGTGTATGAGGGCCTGATATGGTGCAGTAATTCCCTCACAGATGGTGTTATGAGGGGCCTGATGATGTAGAAATTCCCTCACAGATGGTGTATGAGGGGCCTGATGTGGTGTAAAATTCCCTCACAGATGGTGTTATGAGGGGCATCACATGGTGTAGTAATTCCCTCACGGATGGTGTATGAGGGGCCTGATGTGGTGTAGTAATTCCCTCACAGATGGTGTTATGCGGGGCATCACATGATGCTGTAGCAACTCATTCACTACGTGGTGTCGTAGCATCATGGGGACACCACGTGGTCTGGTGTCTGGGACCTCACTCACTCAAGTGAGTGAGTGAGGTCCCAGGCCTCCCTATCGTGGATGGATTAACACATAGCTGGTGTTGTTGAGTCTCACGGGCAGTTATCACTGGGTACCTGGGACCTCACTGTGTAAGGTTAGCTTGGGTAAGACTCAGCTGTTACACCCGAGTTGTTTTCACTGACTTAAGCACTGTTCACCACTATTCAACACTGGTTCCATTCCTTTCCTAAATGAAATAGTAACTTCTGGCGAGAACTTGTTGATATTCCGGTGGGGGAGGAGGGTTCAGGGGAGGGAGTTGGTATGGGCCAACATAACAGTTGACATGGCTGCTGCCAGAGCAGCGCCAGGTACGTCTTGACCCTTCGGTGGTCAAGGATGTAGTGTGTGTGTGTGTGTGTGTGTAAGAGACAGGTCATGTGTGTGTGAAAGAGACAGGTCATGTGTGTGTATGTGTGTGTGTGTAAGAGACAGGTCATGTGTGTGTGAAAGAGACAGGTCATGTGTGTGTGTATGTGTGTGTGTAGAGACAGGTCATGTGTGTGTGAAAGACCGGTCATGTGTGTGTATGTGTGTGTGTAGAGACAGGTCATGTGTGTGTGAAAGACAGGTCATGTGTGTATGTGTGTGAAGAGACAGGTCATGTGTGTGTGAAAGAGACAGGTCATGTGTGTGTATGTGTGTGTGTAAGAGACAGGTCATGTGTGTGTGTGTGTGTGTATATAAGAGACAGATCATGTGTATGTGTGTGTGTAAGAGACAGGCCATGTGTGTCTGTGTGTGTGTGTGTGTGTAAGAGACAGGTCATGTGTGTAAGAGACAGGTCATAAGTGAACACCGTAACACTATCACTATAAGCTGTTGAGTCTGAGCTTGTAACTGGTGTCACTCTGGGTGAAAATGGACGGTAGAGAAAGTGATCATTTATACTGAAGTTAGTTGAGGCTGATCGTTTCTTTTTCACCTTTAAAACAGCTGTGTTATCAATGTGTTTCTCACGGGATGTCACTTTTGAGGAATATTGCCAGTTGAAGAAAGACTGGGAGAGACAGTTAAAAGCGGCTGGATGTCTCATTTATGTTGTTGATGGTGGCGAGTGAGTCAGTGTTGGCCACCTGTTCACTAGACATTTCTCAAGTTAGAATATCGATTTAAACTCTGTTGTAGAATAATAAATCATAAAATAAAAATAACAAGGATCAAGTGAAAAGGAAAGAGTGATAATATTTGTCATCAGTTATAACGTAATTTTAAACCGTTTTCTACATTATAAAAAAAAGGTTAATAATTTGAATTTAGAAAAAGATGAAGAACCTTTGTACAATAATACAAAGAGATGAAGAATTAACACTGAGTCAGCCTCCACTACCCACCATAAAATGCGTAGCAGTATAAAAATAAAAGTTACATGTATACTAAAACGGTCGGGGTAGTTACTTGATAATGATATTTTTAATGTGTTAGATTAAGACTATGACTAAAATTGTCTGGTAACCATGTAAGGTGTAATGGTATAGTTAATACATAATGATAATATAATTTTGTTGTAACATTCTGCTGGTAGTCATAAAGTTTGGCTTGTTGAGATGAATGTATAGTGTTATGTGTCACTATAGTTCCCTCTACCTGGTCACTCCTATATTTTGTGTCACTATAGTTCCTTCTACCTGGTCACTCTATATTATGTGTACTCTACCTGGTCATTTTCTATATTGTGTGTCGCTATAGTTCCCTCTACTGGTCACTTCTATATTGTGTCACTAGTTCCCTCTACCTGGTCCTCCTATATTTTGTGTCACTATAGTTCCTTCTACCTGGTCACTCCTATATTATGTGTCACTATAGTTCCCTCTACCTGGTCATTTCTATATTGTGTGTCGCTATAGTTCCCTCTACCTGGTCACTTCTATATTGTGTCACTATAGTTCCCTCTACCTGGTCACTCCTATATTTTGTGTCACTATAGTTCCTTCTACCTGGTCACTCCTATATTATGTGTCACTATAGTTCCCTCTACCTGGTCATTTCTATATTGTGTGTCGCTATAGTTCCCTCTACCTGGTCACTTCTATATTGTGTCACTATAGTTCCCTCTACTGGTCATC